TCAGGCACTCACTTGTTGCTGGAGAGTGGACCAGAGGAGGCCATAGACATGGCTAAATTTAAATAGCGACAGACTTATTTTTAATGTTTTGCTCATCTGTAGTTCACATCCTTATCAAACAGGTCACTGTATCTCCTAATGCCAGATTGGGATTCTGGTAAATTGAGTATGCCCGGATTTTGAGGACAGTTTGGTGGGTGTTATGTCTTTCAGAGATGAAAGGAAAACCATCTCTGTAGCTGCAACATGCTGGCATAGACTTAATATCTAGGTTAGATAATATATGGTCGTCCAGCAGCATGTCACCTGCTCTTTCGAAAGCATCTTTCGAAAGAGCATCTTTCGAAAGATCGCGTCTAGACAGCAGGCGGATCTTTCGATAGAGGAAATCCGCTTTTTCGAAAGAGAGCACCCAGCGAGTCTGGATGCTCTCTTTCGAAGACGGCCTCTTTACATTGAAGAACGCCTTCCTTCGAAAGAGGAACTTTCGAAGGAAGGCATTCTTCCTCGTGAAACGAAAGAACGCGGCTTGAGTCTGGACGCAGGGGAAGTTTTTTCGGGACACGGCCCTTCTATCTTCTTAGTGAGGTTATTGACAAGTGGAGTTTGATGCAGGTAGACTGAACATGCCCAAGAGATAAAGGATAACAAATCCTAAGAGATAGGGCCTTGCTACATAGAGTAGACCCCAAAGATGAAGGGCAGCATGTTCTACAACCCCGTTGGGTTTTAATTATTTTGATGTTATTATGTAATTGTATGGAGGAAGGTTGCTTAAGAGGTTAGGGCACGATCTTAGGATTTGGGAGTCCTTTGTACAAAACTTTGCTTCGCCACTGACTTCCTGTGTGGCTTTGGGAAAGTCTATATTCCCCAGTCTGTATTTGTACAGTGCAGGTATTAGCACTGCCCTGCTCCCCAGAGGCATGTGAGGTAATTACAATAAAGATTGACAAGTGCTTTGAAATCTATTATGTAAGGGTATTTTGGATTAATGATAGGTTATTTAATGTTTAGTTATTTGTATTATGGTAACACACAGAAGCTTACAATCTAAACAGGCAAGATACATAATGGGCAGGAGGGGAAACTGAGGCACAGAGAGATGAGATGACTTGCCCAAGGTCACTCAGCAGGTCAGTGGCAGAGTTGGGAATAGACCTCAGTCTTCAGAGTTCCCATACAGTGGCTTGTCCACATGTAGCAGCAACTGGATATTAATATTATATTGCAGTTTGGAGGGGTTATTGATGGCTCATGTCCAGGCCAAAACACCTCTACCATCAGATGTGGTGGCAGGGAACTGGACCCAGGCCCAGAATGTGGGAGTAGCAGCATAACACTTCCTACAAGGTTGGGTGGTTGGTAGATGACGTGTGTCCCAGCTATGAATGAAAGAAGCTCTAACATCAGTGCTGGTATCACCTAGTAAATCTGTTCTCCCAAAGAAAGAGGGATTATCTATCTGCACGCCTACCCAGATTATAAACCCCGCTATAACTGGAATCATGCGCTACAAATCTCACCTGGAAAATGGGGCTTGCCAAGCACACACCTGATTTGAGGGTGGACTGTGTGTCCATCAGCCTGCACAGAAACACTATCACTAGAGGTTCATTGGCTTTTCTGCGGGGATGGAACCAAACTCAATTCCCGGGAGATTGAATCCTGGCACTTGAGGGATGGGACATAGTCTCCAGATCTGGTACCCGAGGCGCTGAATGGCTGAACGTTAAGCATGTGAGCAGTCCCGTCTTGTGAAGCACATGCTTAAGTGCTTGGCTGAATTGGGGCCTCATAAAATAGGAGTAAGAATTTTGGCATGAGCATGTAACTGCACTCCAAAGCTGGCGCTATTGGGTCTACAGTCAGTGGTTGGTAGGATCTACAATCTTGGCATTACATCTGGGCTGTGTCTACACTGGGCCACTTATTCCGGAAAATCAGCCGCTTTTCCGGAATAAGCTGCGAGCTGTCTACACTGAACCTTGAATTTCCGGAAAAGCAACGATGCTCTACTGTACAAAATCAGCCGCTATTCCAGAAAAACTATTCTGCTCCCGCTCGGGCATAAGTCCTTATTCCGGAACACTGTTCCAGAAAAGGGTCATTGTAGACAGCCCAGTAGTCTTTTCCGGAAAAGCGCATCTACGTTGGCCACAGACGCTTTTCGGGAAAAAGGGCTTTTCCAGAAAAGCAGCCTGCCAATGTAGACGCTCCTTTTCCGGAAAAACTGAAACCGGACTAGTATTCCGTTTTAAGCATTTCCGGAAATTCATGCCAGTGTAGACACAGCCCTGTGGTGTTAATAATCCCATATGACTTTTCCGAACCCCATCTTTTAGTGCTCTTCTTCCAATGGCATCAGAAGGCTCTTACTGTAAAATGTCTGAGGGTCAGTCAGTAAGGTTTTGAAGACAAACAGCAGTCAGGTCAGGTGGCCTGGGGGAGCCCATGAACAGCTGGTGGTCTGATTCTGCCTTCAGATCAGAGGCATGGGTAGCACGCTTGTTGACTTCAGCAGAAGCTCCACACAAGCATCCCAAAGCCCAGGGAGAACACCTCTGTTGTGCTTCTGACAGTGCTCACAAAGATTGGGTCATACCAGCTGATAGATGTGGCTCACAAACCGAGGTGGGCCGGGCACGAACTCCTCTCCGACCATATGGTAATAGTAGAATAGTGAAAGCAACAGCGTGACGACAGTTGATTCTTAAGGTCTCGTAGCCTGTCTAGAGCAGAGGAGGTAGCCATATGACTGGCTGCGGCACCTTCAGGATGAGCATAAATTGGGCAACCATCCATGCTGTGTCTGATTGATCACACTATGCTGCAGACCCAGTTTGGCCATTCCCTCGCTTTCCATCCAGGGAGTAATATTTCCTGTGTTGGGGACGGATATGGTTTAGAGCTGTCCATATGCGCCAAGGGTTCAGGGAAGCCTGGCACTTTCACGGTTGGGTCATCGATTAGATTTTTGCTTTATGCGAACACCGTTATCTCCTGCAAGGAGAGCCGAAACCAGAAGGGGTTTCTTAATTTTAGCTGGTGGCCAGTGGGATGTTCTAGGTCAGTGTTTTTTCAACCAGTGGTATGAGTACCCTTAGGGTACTCAAGAGAAGTCGAGGGGTATATCAACACAATTGAAATTTGGAGAAAACTGAATTTTTGCTGTAAGTTTGACAGCGTTTTATTATTTATTTTTGTACGTTTTACACCCAAAAATTTCATCACCCGCCCAGCTGCTTTAAACAAATGTGTTGCAATTTGTGTGTCTGAAAACTGTGGGTACTGGGGGTACTTATAATTATTTATAATTAATTATAAAGGGATACTTTATACAAAAAAGTTGAGAAACACTGTTCTAGGTCATGGTGGAGTGCAACTGTTGCAGCATCTCGCCTGTTATTTGCCATGGCAATGGCTTTGATGGGAGGGTGCTGTTAATTATTCAAAGAGTACCATTAGTTTTGATGTCCACTAACATTGCATGTGGGCTGCCACTCCAAACAGACGTACAGTATCCCACTGAGGAATGGACCAAGGTTCGTGACAGTATTTGGCGCATGTGGGCATCACATCCCCAAGATGTTTCAGCAAACTTCTGTAGGATGTTGACCCTGGCTTCCGTTTTCCTTTTGGTTTGTTCACGGTAGAGGCGGAAGCTGAGCAGATGTCCCAGGGTTAACCCCAGGTCCTGCTGATTATGACCATCAACGGTGACCCACCAAAATTTGTTTAATGTCGTCTTGGATTGAGTATTTTTCAGATGGAAAGTGGAGAGCTTCCCCTGCCAACGGGTCAGTCTCCCCACTCCAGGGCGTTTTCCTGGGAGGGTCCTCAAGATGAGAGCTGCATCAAGCTGGGGGAAAACATTCCCCTTTGGTTTGGGGGCTCCACAAATATTTTATATTTGATGCCAGCCTTCTCGGGGCAGGGACTGTTTCTTAGTGCTGTGTTTATCGGGTACCAACCACAATGAGGTGCTGCTCCGTGACTGGGATGCTTAGGAACTAAAACAGTGCCAGTAAATGCATCCATATAATGAATAATGTCACATTCTATTTCAGAGCCAAACCGCGGCTGCCATTATGCAAATGAAGCACGGGACATTTAAATCTTGGCTTCATTTGCAATTTCAAAGTGTCTAATTTACATCCCTTTTTCGAGAAAAGGGATGTAGTTTAGACACAGCAATACAGACACACTCTCTCAAATAAATATATAGTACATAGCTGTCTCTTTCTCCTCCCTAGCCCCCTGCTGGCTCAATGGGGTTATAGCTGTCCCGGTCCCCATCTCTGACCCCTTGCTTCCTCTTGTGGTCATTATACAGTATAACAGTGCCTGCTAACAGACTCCTCCCTTTCCGTTTTATGAGAAACAGTTGCATTCCAGGCACATACGATTATCTTGGCACAATCAAACCCTGACCTTGCTTTAAACTAGGATAAGAGGAAGCTGCCTACCAAATTCGGTGGTCCGAGTTTTTACCATTTAAGATGAGTTCTTGAACAAATAGATTCACGGACAGACGGACAGAGAGACAGACATACAAACTCTCTCAAATGCATAGCAGATTTGCGCCCCAGAGTGATGCCCAGCTAAAATAAATCTGATCATCATGGATAACATGCCCCATTTTCTATGAGACCATTTTAAATGTTGGTTTCTATCATGTATCCAATTGTTTTTACAACATATCCAATGGCATTAGACAAATTCAGAGTGGACGTAAGGCGTGTATTTTTACCAGTGATGGTAATTAACTCCTGGATCAGTTTTTCAAGGGTCATGGTAGATTCTCCATCACTGACATTTAAACCAAGGTTGGATTTTTTTTTTCTAAAGAGCTGCTCTAGGACTATTTTGGAGGAGTTATACAGAGGATTAGAGAAGATGATCATAACGATATCTTCTGCTCTTGCTCTGCACAACGAAGGGGGCTATGGCCAGTGAACAGAAATCACGTGGCTCAGTGAATCGAGCTGAATATTTACCTTGTAGCGAGTCTTTCTCAGATGCACTTTTTCCATTGGCTTGGAGAGCACTTGTGCGACCGTCACAACGATTCGTGTGATCCTCTGCCTGCTTGTGCCCCTTTCTGCGCCTTCTCCAGTAGCCAGCTTTCTGTGACACCAAGCATCGGAGCCAGGGCGGAGGCAGTGCAAAATGGAATCAGGTGTTCCAAAGCCAGGGGACTAGGCTCTGGAACAACGGAGGGCGGATCTGCATGCCAGATGTGGCACAATTAGTGTGGGAAGCTGATCTGAGCCTCCACATTTCTCCTCTCCCCTGGAGAATCTTAGCCTCAGGGCAGAGAAATCACTGAGGGATGCCAACTGGGAGCTTAGGTTCATGGAGGCGGTGGTGGGAACCCCTGATCAAAGCAGTTGACTGGAAACAGGGAAGTCAGGGACACCTAATTCCTACTCACTTAGGGGAAACAAAGGGGAAGATTGTTTAAAAATCATATGGCAGTTCTATTAATTGACTTCTCCAATGGCCAGAAATTGCTTCCAAGCTGAAATAAACAAGCAACGCGATGCAACAGAGAGCAAGAAGTTGAAGTTCAGTGCACGCAGCTGGACGCGCCAGACCGTTTGATCCGCCCGTCCGACCGAGGGGAAAGCCACGAATGCACTTTCACGTAGGGAATTCCCTAGCTCTTCCAGCCAGGCGTGAGGCCTGATAAAGCCAGCTCAAACGAGCGAGGCTGAGCAAAGCGTCAAGGAGCACAAAGGGCACCGTTTTCATTGGAGCCGAATGACAAAAACATGCCCAGGCACCTGGCTCATTCAAAGAAACAGGATGAAGAGAAAAGATAAAGAAGTAATGTTGAGCCCAGGTCTGTCTGGGAACCCTGCCGTGGCACCCAGGTTAAACTAGAGAAATCCACCTTATCCCTCCTGGAAAACGTACTGTTTCCATGCTCACTCTTTTAGGAGCAGTGATAGAAATGTAGCCATGTTAGTCTGGTGTAGCTGAAACAAAAAAACAGGGCTATGTAGTTATTTATTAGTTCCCTAAATAGAAGAACTAGAGGACACCAAATGAAATTAATGGGGAGCAGGTTTTAAACTAATAAAAGAAAGTTCTTTTTCACACAGCATGTAGTCAACCTGTGGAACTCCTTGCCAGAGGAGGCTGTGAAGGCTAGGACTATAATAGAGTTTAAAGAGAAGCTAGATAATTTCATGGAGGTTAGGTCCATAAAAGGCCAGGGGATAAAATGGTGTCCTTGGCCTCTGTTTGTCAGAGGCTGGAGAGAGATGGCAGGAGATAAATCGCTTGATCATTGTCTTCAGTCCACCCTCTCTGGGGCTCCTGGTGCTGGCCACTGTCGGCAGACAGGATACTGGGCTAGAAGGACCTTTGGTCTGACCCAGTACGGCCGTTCTTATGTTCTTATGTTCTATAGTCCTTCTCTGACCCAGTACGGCCGTTCTTATGTTTTTATGTTCTATAGTCCTTTTTTCTTTTAGGAGCAGTTTCTTTTTCCTGTCTGTGGATGGAGGATTGGTATCCTTCCAGCAGTGACTTGCCAAAGAAGCCTTTAAAACGTCCTGGCTATTAATACAGACTCCTTTCAAGGACTGTGATTGGGTCTTTTTGGATGACTCCTAGGGATAACACCCTGCCTACTAAAAAAACTTAAAAAACAACAAATAGTCTGGCAGCACCTTAGAGATTAACAAAACATGGAGATGGTAGCATGAGCTTTCATGGGCACAACCCACTTCTTCAGATGAAAGAAACCTTCAGATAACACCCTGTTTGCTGTGAGATAAAACCTGGGGTAGGCAAGGAAAGTCAGATTCCCGAAAAGAATACCGTAGTCTGGAAAGCCGCTGCACTAGACCACATGGCCTTTGGGGGACAAATGCTAAATGCAAAATTAAAAGCAAGCTTTTTGGGGTAGAGATTGTCTTGGTTTCGCGTGTGTCCATCATGCATGAGGGAACCCTGATCTCTCACTGGTACCTAGCGGGGCTACCATCTACTAATGAATAACACAGAATTGTGCATGTGGCTAGTTCATAGTAGGAATATGACTTAGACATAACACTGCACATCCCATTAAATCCATTATCCGTTTTATTTCAATGGGATGCTGTTGCTCCCAGTCAGCCACTGAATAATTCACTCTGCGTTAGTTTTCTGTTTGTTGCTGCTGGGTTGCTGTCAGTTTCCCATTTCATCGTGCCTGGGATAGGACCCCGGATTCCGAGAGAGGGATGCAAATGCAGCCGAGCGAATTTGCAAATGAAGCGCGGATTTGAATTTCCCATGCTTCATTTGCATAATCGCGTCCCGCCGCTTTTTCGAAATACTCTATTTCGAAATAAAAAACACTGTGTAGAAGCGGTTATTTTGAAAGAAACCCCTTCTTTCGAAATAACCGTTAAAGCTCATTTTTTAAGAAGTACGGGTTATTTCGAAAGAAGGGGTTTCTTTCAAAATAACCGCTTCTACACAGTGTTTTTTATTTCGAAATAGAGTATTTCGAAAAAGCGGCGGGACGCAATTATGCAAATGAAGCATGGGAAATTCAAATCCGCGCTTCATTTGCAAATTCGCTCGGCTGCATTTGCATCCCTCTCTCGGAAGAGGGATGCCATGTAGACATACCCATACAGCATCTGTGTTACAATTCAGCTTCGCTTCCTTCCATTGCTGTGAATAGCTGTCTTGTGGGAGTTTTTAAATGGGGATGGTGCATTTGAGAGCAGCTCCTGCTCTTTCCTGTGCTGCGTCAAATGGCCCAGGATGCAGCAATGTTATTGTTCCTGCGACAGTGCAGAATTCTCTGGGCCCAGGCAGGAAAGAAACCCCCCACCCCCTCCGAGTCCGTCTCCATCCCATGTAGCTAGGGCCTAAACTTGAGTGCTACAGCACGGTGCCTTTGTGGACCTAGCTTGGAAGCCTGAATCATGGGCCGGGCCTTCATTTGCTCCGTGCTGTGTAAACACTAACCACCGTGATTCACGTGCCCCAAACAGCCTCGCTTGGTTAGATCACCCAAGCAGAGGGAGGTTTGAGACTGGTGGGGAGAGCAAGTTCCTTAGGCATGTCGCGTCTCCTTTCTGTGCCTCTGCCCCGCCCCCCCTTTGTCCTGCCTGTTTGCTACCGCGGAGTTCTGTCGACATAACGTCGACAGAACTCGGCGGTTTTATCGACGCTGGTATACCTCGTTTTACGAGGCAAAACACTTTCTGTCGACAGAACTCTGTCGACAGAAGGTGTTATTGCCTGTAAAACAACTCCATGTGTCTGGACGCAAATTGTCGACGGAAGTTTTGTCGACAGTATCTGTCGACAAAACTTCCGTCGACAAAACGCGGTAGTCTAGACGTACCCTTCGTCTGGACAGCAACCAGCACACCATGGCCCACTAAGCAACACTGTGATGTCACCCACAAAGGGGCCAGTATTAAAGCGACTGTTCAGATGAAGGTGTAAGAACACGGGAGTGGGTTGTGGGGGCCGTCAATGATCGTCCTACCCTAGAAGTAACAGCTTCCTGGACCCTCCACAAAATATGGGGGCCAGGAAAAAAATTCTCATCTCCCCTCCCAGCACACCTGCCGCCTCTTTCACCAGGCTGCCATGTGCAGGTAGCGCGGGGCGACCGTGTGACGGCGAAACAGCTGCCGACAGCTGTGCTTTCTTGGTGCACAATCAGCCTGTTGGCTAAGGACCCCTCCCCAACCAGAAGTGTGTGAAATTCCGCAGCCTTGGTTGCCAGGCGCTGCTGTGGCTTTGTCAGGTTTTGGGACATGTGGCTTCACCGCCCCGAGATTCTGGGACAAACCCGCCAGCAAGACGGACTGCGACGTGCTGCCGTCAGTCTACCCGTTCGTCACCCGCTAGATCGGTTCAGCGGTCCCTGGGCTTCATAGCCGCTCAGTGCTGCTGCTATTGATTAGGGACGTGAATGGTTAACCGGTTAGGCTAACGAGTGAGGCTTACTGGTCCGGGGGGCTGGAGCAGCATCCTTCCTTCCTGCCTGCCAGCCCTGTGGGGCTCGCCTCAGGCAGGGATGCTCCAGCTGGCCGGAGCAGCCCCTGTCCAGGAAGAGGAGTCCACTCCAGCCTGGCTGTGGAGGGCAGGAGGGGAGCCTCCCTCAGGCTGCCCCCCCTTCATTGGCTAACTGGTTAAACTCTACATTTCACTGGTTAGCCAGTTAAATAGGATTTTCCATCCTTACTATTAATTACAGCTGTTGACATCTCATAGGGCTTACCTGGCCCTTTGGGAAACAGCCCTTCCCAGCAGAGATGATACCAGTGCCCATGGAGCAGCCGTGTTAGCCTGTAACTCAGCAGAGCTCCAGGCCTGGTGGTGGTAGAGCGGAAAGGCTGCTCTTCTGGCTAATTGCTGTGCTCTCTCCCTCAGGGAGCCTCAGCCTTGTCTGGCCTGGGCTTCCTAACCCCTCTCATCCTTGCTGCCCCAGCACGGCTGGGGGTGGGCATGGAGTAGCCGCGTGGAGTTTTTCCCACCATGTTCCCTAGCCCTGATCTGCACATGGTTAAGTGGCACGGGGGTGAAACACTCCATGCCCTGTCTGCACGAGGGCTCTTACTCCTGGGGCTGCACTAGTGCCAGCTATGGGAGTGGGTGCCCATGGAAAGATTAGTGTCGACGTACCAGGCAGACTGAAATGCTGTTCTGGTTTTTAGCAACGGGGGATTTTTTCCCCAAATGCTTCTTGGCCCAGTTCATTCAGCACTGCCTCCCCGTTCAATGGGCTGTACCTAATAAAGGACCTTTATCCAAAGCCTGCTGAAGCCAATGGGAATCTTTCCATTGACTTCAGGGAGCTTTGGACCAGGTTCTTCATCTGTCAGTAACAGAAGCACTAGTGTGATTGCTCGTTCACCATGATGGGAGCGCCCTGGGGAATACCCTCGCTGATCAGCGACACCAGCCATGTAATGGAGAGGTGATTCTGGAGAAGGCAGTAAAAACTCAAAGTCCTCTTCATTTAGAACAAAGGAGACAGGAGGCATCCAGGATAGCCCGAGATGCAAGGTGGGGGGCTCATTATAACCTTGTCACTGCCAGGCCCAACTTTAGGGCATAGCACACAAGGTGATTGCCTGGGGCCCCATATCTTGAGGTCTCCACACTGCCCAGCGCCCGCCCACCTGGCTGCTCACTTGCTGCCTTGGCTGGGCAGTCTGGCCATGCGTTGCAGCCAACTCCCTTGGGCCCTGCAAACTCTTTACACCAGAACAATAGCTGTAAGATTGGGGAATGACCCTCTGCCCTTCCTGGGGGGCAGGGGAAGGAGGGGAGAAGCGAGCAAGGGCCTTTTAGCAAAGGCTTGAGACATGGGTGAAAAGCTGCAGAGTTTCTCTCTAAGCTGAGAAAACAGACAGCCCACATGAAGGGAATTCTCCACAGCTGGGGTCTCTGTAGCAAGGACCTGCTGCCCACATGTCAGAGGGGCTCACTGTAAATTGTGCAGGGTTGTTTATTTTTTTCTGTAGCACTTCAGCTGCTTATATTAATTCTCCCCAGCTTAGACCCAAGAGTGACCTGTCCAGGCAATCTTTGGATGTCTGACCAGGGGAATCCTGAGTAGGACTAGAGAGGTGTTTGATAGTGGTGTGACTGCTGTTTGAACACTGTGCCTAGTTCTGGTCTCCACAATTCAAGAAGGATGGTGAAAAACTGTAGAGAATTTAGCGAAGAGCCACAAGAATGATGAAAGGTTTATGCAACATGCCTTGTAGTGAAAGACAGGAAGAGCTCAATTTGTTTAGCATCGCAATCTTTTAAGTACCTATGTGGGAAACAGCATTTGGATAACAAGGGCTCTTCCATCCAGCAGACAATGGCATAACAGGATCCAATGGCTGGGAGTTGAAGCTAGTTTCAGACAAGAAACAAGGTGTAAATTTTTAACTGTGAGGATCATTAACCACTGGAACAATTTACCCATTCTAGCAATTTTAAAATCAGTATTAGATTTTTTTTTCTAACAGGTCTGCTCTAGTTGAAACAGAATCTAGTTGAGTGAAGTTCTCGGGGCAGGGGGGCAGATTAGAAGATGATCACAGTGGTCTTTTCTGATTTTAAAATCTAGGAATTCAGCAGAGCCAGGATTTGAACTTCAGTTTTCTGAGTCCCCGTCGAGAGCCACCAGAACATCTTTCCTCCCGACGAGGCGACAAAGTTGAACAAATAGGTGAGCGTTAAACGATAACGTTTGGAAGCCGGCAACAGGACGATGTAAAAGAACCAGAGAATCATGTAAATATAAACATCCAATAGTAATTATGTTTAAGTTAGCATTTACCAGAACAAAGCCAAATAATGAATGGGGAGGGGGGAGAAATGCAGTAGTTCCTATTTTAAAAAACATTAACCTAACAAGACCAGTTCCGTGATCACCCTACACACTCTTACAGATTCATGTGTTCCAAGGCCGAAGGGACCACTGTGATCACCTGGTCTGATCTCCTGCTATCACAGGCCATGCACTCCACACTGTCTTCCAGGTTTTTGCCCTTGTAGGCTGTCTAAGCACCTTGAAGATTTTGTGTACGTACATTCAGAGCCTAGCACAGTTTGGGTGCTACTCTAATGTGAAGAGGGTTGCCAGATAAAAAATACTGAACATGGTAGGGAAAAAATTGGTTGAGCAAAAAGAAAAAAAAAAGGGGGGGGGAACACAAAAGCTTTTGAGGAAAAAAAAGAAACCACAAAAAAGTCACTGTGCCTTTAAATTCCCATGCTCCACGCTCCCCCTGCCCCCGCCAGACGCGGCAGGGGAAGAATGTCCCAAGCGGCCTTCCGTCCGAGAGAAACAGAAAATACCAGACATTTTACATGTCCGGTATTTTCTGGGTTGTTTACCGCACAGAGGCCGCAAATACTAGACTATCCAGGCCAATATCGGACACCTGGCAACCCTATGAACTGTGGCTTGAACTGTATTTAAAACCAGAACAATTCTTCCTTTGAAGCAGCTGAGGATGTCTTAGCCCTTTAGCGACTTGAGTCTCTGCGCAAGGTCCTCTCTCGTTTTGGACGCGGGGCAGAGCTCTGTCCATGGGAAGGCTGGGGACCTGCTATAGCTTTCTTGGTCATCCATGGAGGTGAAGAACAGTTTGTTTATGGAAGAGAAGAGTGCCATCTGGTGGGGAAAGCGAGTATTTAAAGAGCCGCCTTTGGAGTCCCATAGGCAGGATCTCAGCCCTGACATTGAATTCAAGTCAAGCCACACTAATCGCACTTTTGTGTCACCCTCCCTTCTGAGGCGCTTCTCCACCTAAGCATCATCCCCATTGCTCTTCCATCCTGCTGCCTCTCAGTGGAAAGCTTGTGCTGCAGCCACTGGATAAGGGTGCCCATCTTCTTTCAGTATAGCTGGGAACACTTTTAGTTGCTGTCTTTGGAAGTTAGTGATTACCTAGCTGGCCTGGTCTTCAGGTTGGACTTGGTAGTTCTTTCGTATGAACATAAGAACGGCCGTACTGGGTCAGACCAAGGTCCATCTAGCCCAGTAGCCTGTCTGCTGACAGTGGCCAGCGCCAGGTGCCCCAGATTTGCCCCCTGCCACCCTTCCCCAGCCTCTGACAAACTGGCCAGGGACACCATTTCTATGCCCTGGCTAATAGCCTTTTATGGACCTAACCTCCATGAAATTATCTAGCTTCTCTTTAAACTCTGTTATAGTCCTAGCCTTCACAGCCTCCTCTGGCAAGGAGTTCCACAGGTTGACTACTCGCTGTGTGAAGAACTTTCTTTTATTAGTTTAAAACCTGCTACCCATTAACTTCATTTGGTGTCCTCTAGTTCTTCTATTATGGGAACTAATAAATAACTTATTTTTATTCGCCCTCTCCACACCACTCATGATTTTATAGACCTCTATCATATCCCCCCTCAGTCTCCTCTTTTCTAAACTGAAAAGTCCCAGTCGTTTTAACCTCTCTTCATATGGGACCCGTTTCAAACCCCTAATCATTTTAGTTGCCCTTTTCTGAACCCTTTCCAAGGCCAAAATAACTGTGTACCGACACAGATGGCTGACTGCTTTGTGTCTAAGCATTGACTCTCTATGAGACTATATAGAAACTCACACAAGTGTAAAAGGAAGTGAATAATGGGGTTATTATTTCCGCCCAGGTTTCCCCTGATACAGGCCAGAGGAAGAAGACTTGCAATGTCTTCCTTTTAACCACTAGGCAGTGGGTGTATCTACAGCACCTGCTAGCCTTCATAGAGCTTATCTAGAAAGTCAAATTCTGGTAGTGAAGAGTTAAGTATGCGGGTATGTACCCCTGACTTGATTCTGGAATAACAAAGAGTGTGTCTACACTACAAGCCTTTATTTCAAAATAACGTTGAGCTGGAGGACTTCTTATTCCAACTCCTGTAACCCTCATTTCACAAGGAGTAAGGGAAGTCGACAGAAGAGTGTTCTTCCTTCGACTTCCTGCTGCGTAGACAAGGCCAAATCCGAATTAAGCTATTTTGACTTAACCTATGCAATTGACATGGCTGAAGTTGCATAGCTTAATTTGACTTGAGCTGGGCTGTGTAGACGTACCGTCATTTCGAAATAACTTCCGAAATAACTATTTTGAACTAAGCGTTATTCCTCTTCACAAGCCGGAGTTGTTATTTTGAACTAACAAGCCCATTATTTCAGAATAATTTTGGAATAACAGGCTTCCTGTGTGGACGCTCACCTTGTTATTTCAAAATAAGAGGAGTAATTTTGAAGTAACTCCCCAGTGTAGACGTGCCCTCAGGAGGGCCTGAGCCAAAGCCAACTGAAGTCAATGAAAAGACTCTCGTTGACTTCAATGGGCTGTGGATCAGGCCTTTCAAGAAGTGAATCACTAAAAGATACAATGGACTCTTTATTTTTCTTTACTGATATAGCTGCTGCTCCATAGTTCTGTGTAGGAGAGTCAAGTGTTCAAGGGAACCTGTACACATGACACCACTTGTGGCAAGTCTGACCAGTGCATATGTCTGACCAGCGGTGGGTCAGAGTCATGCACTGGCCAGGTATGGCAAGGACTTTGGTCAAGGAAACTAGCATGGGAATTACCAGATGTGTTGATCCGGTTTGAGGGCAGCTGCTGGAAGTTGTTCTTATTTTCACTGCTTAAGATTTTTGACACGCGGATTGCTTATTGATATTCCTACAAGCTTGTGGCTTTGTAAACCTTCCATAGCCACACTCTGAAATGGCCATAGATCTGATACAAACCCCATTGTGACTGATGGGACCATTCCATTGGTTGCAGTGGGTTTGGATCTGGTCCTAAAGGAGCAATACCTGGTGCTTAGATGATAAATTGCCTCTCACTCAAGTTGCTCCAAACAATCTATCAAGAAGGAAAATTGTCACTATCTGCAAAGTGAGCCAAAGGCAGGTAAGACGACTTTTCTAAGGCTACACAGTTAAACAGTGACAGAACTGGGAATAAAACTTGGGTCCCCAGACTTGCGGTGTTGTGTTACAATAGACAATTTTATCATCCTCTAATTGTTATCAGAATCCGATTAGATTTCAAAGTGTTTAGGTATCTATATGTATAGTGCAGAGGAAGCTTGCATAAGAACTTCCTTTGTTGGAGGTACTGCTAGCTGGCTTTTGCTTTCATGATCATCAGTTCTGCCAAAATCTTATAAATGTGTCTTTAAAACCACTCGTTTGATGGTTGGAGGCAGAGGGTTTCTGAATAGGCTTAAACCACAAAAGACAATGAGCCAGACTGTTAGGGTACATCTAAACTACATGCCTCCGTCGGTCGACGGAGGCATGTAGATTAGTTTATTCGAAAAAGGGAAATGAAGTGGCGATTTAAATAATCGTCGCTTCGTTTAAATTTAAATGGCTGCTGCGCTGAGCCGACAAACAGCTGATCAGCTGTTTGTCGGCAGATCGGGGCAGTCTGGACGTGCCGCGGTCGACAAGGAAGCCTTTGTTGACCGGCACAGGTAAACCTGGTTTCACGAGGCATACCTGCGCTGATCAACAAAGGCTTCTTGTCGACCGCGGCGCGTCCAGACTGCCCCGATCTGCCGACAAACAGCTTATTGGCAGAGCGGGGCAGCCATTTAAATTTAAATGAAGCCACAAATTATTTAAATTGCAGCTTCATTTCCCTATGCCGATCTGTCTAATCTACATGCCTCCGTCAACGGAAGCATGTAGTCTAGACACACCCTCAGAGTAAATTGGTGTAGCATCACTGAAGTCCTGTAGCAATATAAACTTATGCCGGCTGAAAACCTGGTCAGCCCATTATCTTTCCCTGAATCTGGCCCCAATAGTCCAGACAGGTTCCCCAGCTGTGAAACCTTGAATCTCTAGCACATCTTCCAGTGTCACCTGCTCTGCCTCAAATGTTCTTGTTCAACAACAGACACCATTCACATTTCTAGTTCAACACTTTTATTGGAAGAAAGGTTCAGGTCTTTGATGGCACTCTTAACAGCGGGAGAGAGTCCAGCTGAGGTGTAGGCGCTCTGAAAACGAGTTCACAATCAAAGAAGACTATCGTGGTGTTCCTCCAGGGCTGCTTCCATTGCCCTGTTTCCATGACCTTCTTAAGGTTGCATTGATTCAGCAACTGCCTGCTCCAAAGCCATAGAAGTCCAGCATAAAGACCCCGCTTGCCTTAAATCAGCATTAGATTGGATCCCATGTGTTCCTCTTCAGCCAGCTCCCCGTCTTAGCTCCAGGCGTCTCTCTCTGGTGGGAGAGATCCTGGACCCTCCCTCGCACATCAGAAGACCATCGTAGAATCATAGAATACTAGGACTGGAAGGGATCTCGAGAGGTCATCGGAAGTGACAGGTTTACGTTTGGTAATAGGCCATCTGAACGAATAAGGCGTGTTCCTTGGAATCCACGGAATACGAAGGCACACGCTTCAAGACTGGGCCCGAAGCCAAGAGAAGCTCCAAAATGCAGAGTCAATGCTGCCATTCCTCCATGGGGCTGGCACACACCCAACCAACTAGCCTGTGCCCCCTGGGCTCCTTCTCAATCAGGGGCTGCCTCAGTGGGAGGGTTGTGTGTGTGTGTGTGTGTGTGTGTGTGTCCCGACTGATTTTTCCATCGGTCATCGGCCCCCTACCCAAAAAAGTTTCCCCAGTCTTGACATAGGACTTGTGCTGACCTAAGTATGGCTCTGTCCTAAACAATGTAGATCTTCTTGTATGTGCATTAAAACTCAACCGAAATGCATGAACAGTTCATAAAAAGATAAGGGCTTCTGTCCAACATTGAAATCTTTGTTGGTTTCTTTTACAGCCTCGTGATTTGAATTGTGTTTAAAAAACTATTTTATTGAAGAAGCATAAAGACATTTTTCTTAGAAAAAGCATAAAAACTCTCGGCACTGCCACAGCTTGACTGGCTAACGTTCACAGACCATAGCGTCCTCAGTGCAGTCGAAATAGAGGACGTACAATTGTCTGTGTGAGGCACTTGACGTTTAGATATTAATGTATTTTCAGATCATTCCCTGGTCTCTTACTGATTTTTAAGTCAGAACCAACAATAAGTCCCAAGCTACGCAGCAAAACAAGAAAGTGCTTCCCTGCTGAGCACTTGTATTGATTTTAAAAAAAGCAGCCCAGTTCCCCCTCCCCCAAATTTTGTACAAAAATGTTGCTCGGACTGGACCTGTTCGGTTGCCGAGAATCAGCACAGAGAGAATTTTACAGCCAAAGTGACGGATTATTCTCCTTAAAACCTGAGCTAGCTGAGTGTCAGAATGGTGATTGTGCCCTAAGGAACACTTCAGAACACCAGCCCTTCTGTACTAACGCCTATTTCCCTTTCTGGAAAAAGTGCATTTCAGTACGCAAACTGGGTTGCCTGTACAGTGGCGACTACTTTGGGAACATGTCTCCAACTGGCCAGTCCTGCTAACCAACCACGCCCAGTGCATTCTGTTTGTAAGGCTAAAAGCAGGCTGTTTTGGATGCAAAACCTGGACACGGGCCCCCTCCCAGTCCTGAGATTTGGAACTGCAGATGGGCTTGCGCACCTGGGCCCGTAAGGAAGTGAGTGATAACAGGAGCTGTAGTGAATACGGGGAGCTGAGCTGTGAGTTGGATCAGTCTTCCTCTACAATCATGCAACAAGGCACCAGTGCGGTATGGCACAGGCAGTGCTGGTGTCTCGTCGTTAGGGTGTTTTACAAAGTTTCCCTTCTCAGAGTGCCCAAGCCTTTTCCTGTTGTTGTTTAATTCAGATATAGCCTGTCCTCGTGAGGCCCATTTTGGGCAGCCCACCTCGATCGACTGGCTCATCAGCCCTCGTATAGCCTGAGCCGATCTCAACACGTCTTCTCTTTGGAAGGCGACCCTGAGGGCTCGGGGGGGAGGAGGGGGGAGCACTGCAATCTGGGTGGCACTGAGGGCTGGCTGCCTCTAGCCCCGCCCCTTCCGCCAAGGCCCGCCCACACACTTTGCCCCAGGGCCTGTGGTGGCTGGAGCAGGGAGCCCGCCTGCAGGGGTCTCATTGCAGGACTGGGGCCTTAAGAGCTCCAGGCTTGGACGCTGAGTCCCCTCCAGCATGAGTCCAGTAGCTCCTCTCTAACCTCTGCCCAGAATGCCCTCTGGAAGGACTGCGCCTGAGTGGGTACAGATGGAGGAGGGGGAAACGATTTTGCCAAGGAGCAGAGTGCGGGTGGGCTGGGACCTCGCCGGTAATCCAGAGAGGCCACTACCGCCTGGCTGCTCAAAGCTCGGTTCTTTTAAAGGGGCTGTGGCAAATTAGACTTTTTTTTTTTTTTTTTGGTAAAGTGACACCCTTCCCTCATTGGTTTTTAGTAGCTGCCTCGTTTAAATAACCTCACCGAATGTTCCTTCGTGCGTTGCTCTTAGCTTGGGCAGCGCAGTCGCCTTCTCGTTGGTTTGGTTCCAGGTTCTCTTGCACTGACACGATGGTCCGGGCCAGGCTTGGATCCTCTTACTCATGGTGAATAGCTCCACGCTCCTTGAGCGAGCCCCTCTCAAGTCCGGGGGCCAGACTGCGTGGTAAGTCCATTGTGCACCATGTGGGCAGTGCCAAGTGGGCGTAGAGGATGGGGGGGGTGGAACTCTCCACTTGTCAAAAGCTGTAAAGCCATCTCCAATCGCCAAGTTGCCCCGATGGGATTTCTCATTCATATGAGTAAGAGGATCTGTGGCCTTTGCACACACTGCAGAGGCATCTTTGTGCAGAAAGGCCTTCCATTGGAGTTCTTTTAAAATCCTGGAAAAATCTAATTTGGATTTGGTTTTGGGGGCAAATTTAGTCTGACAAGTTCCCTTCTTGGATACTATGGATCAATATTTGATCAGTCTTTTCCCTCCCATTACTGTCCCCCTCCTCCCTTCTCTGCCTCCCTTCTTGGATACTATGGATCAATATTTATCAGTCTTTCCCCTCCTCCCTTCTCTGCAGATGCCCTCTGCCTGCTACTTCCCCTTCTCCTGTGTTCAGAGTGGCATCTCCTTTAGCCGTTGTCCAATAGTGGCCCTTGAAATGCAGCATCGTCACACACATCTAAGATAACGTGAGATGCCCAGCATCCGGGAGACTTGGCCCCTTTCAGGTGCACGGGTTTCATATTCGAGTGAAGTAACTACTGCAATAATACCCTCAGATTTCAGTCTCCCTGTTGAGTCTCTCAGCGTACCTTCCCCCCTCTGGGAGGAGTCCTTAGAACCACGAGGTACTTGATTTTTTTTTTAATTGCCTAGGCCTTTTAAAATTGCCATTTCTGGCTGAACACCCTATTACCCACGAGCCAGATCTTCAGCTGGTGTAAATCAAAATAAAGGAGCTGGGCTGATTGACAACAGCCCAGGCTGTGGCCAGTGTATCCTAATTTTCTTGTTTTAAATGTCCAGCCAGTCTTTTCAACTGGGGTTTGCTGCTCCCCTGTTGATATCCTAGTTCAGTGGTTTTCAAACTATGGGTTGCGACCCAGTACTGGGGCGTGGAATGTCGAGCGCTGGGTCTCCTTGCTGCAGGGGGATCAGGTGAGCAGTGGGGGGGAGGCTAAGGCAGCTCCCTGCCTGTCCTGGCACCGCAGACTGCGCTGCGCCCCAGAAGCAGCTGCAACAGGCCTGGCTCATAGGGGAAGGGGGAGAGCGCACAGGGCTTCACGCACTGCCCCTGCCCCGAGTACTAACTCCGCACTCCCATTGGCTGGGAACCTGCTGCTGGCTGCTTCTGGAGCGCTGCATGGTCTGTGGTGCCAGGAGAGGCAGGAAGCTGCCTTAGCCCCCTCACTGCACTGCTGACTGAGGGCCACTCAAGATAAGCCCCTCCTGCCCCAGATCTGCCCCCCGCCCAAGCTAGAGCTCCCTCCTACTCCCCAAAGCTCATCCTCACCCCCACCCCGGAGCCCATACTCTGGTCAAATCATGTTGGGTCATGGGCATCAATAATTTTCTTCCACTGGGTCAGGAGAAAAAAAGTTTGAAAAGTGCTGTCCTGTGGGCGGGGGGACTTTCCACCAGAGAGAAAGAAACTGACCCTGCAAAGGAACCAATGAAACCGCCCTTTGCAGAGTGCTGTCCAATGCAAACAAATGGGAGGGGAGATAAATATTTCAACCCTGTAGCTTCTGTCACTTACAGTAGCCTCCTGTGCTACCTATACCTATAGTAGGTCCAATCCTTTCCAGGATGTTGCCTCTTCAATACCCACTCCCCTTCCTGCTGTGTTCCCCCCTGTATTATCTCCTAGCTGTGCAATTAGCAGCTTAAAGTACTCGCTCTTCCCATCTATTAAACCACAAATGGGAAGCATCATTCTAGTGTATATCCAACATAACTGGCTGAGCCAGCTTTGCCAGTTAATGTCTGTTGTCACTTAGAACATTAAGAAATCTCCCCAAGAGGCCAAAATAGAGGTGACAGTGCCATGCTATTATAAAGTGAGCTCCCTATTCGTGAATGTCTCCGGATTCCTGATTTAGTAATAACTTGCCTCTTGGACACAAGGGCTTTGGCTAGCCTGGAAGCTGACTTCATTAACCTCTACGGTTTGGCTTGGAGAGAACAGCCGTAGGTCTCTATGGCTTTCACGGGATGGACGGGCAGGACCAGGTGGGAGATGCGGCTCCATAAACCACTCAGCTTGTCGGTGTCCATGTGGTTGTAGGAGCTGGGAGTGTCGGCATTGGTGAATCTGGCCCAGAGGAAATCGCGGACTCTCTCCTCTGCCCGCAGTAGATCTATATTAGCCTCCAGCTTCTCCTCCTCCAGCAGGACTGTGAAGAGCAGCGCCACGTCTTTGAAGGCAGCGCTCTCGTGGTCGCAGTACTTGTAAAAGATCAAGGTGGAGCCCGCCGGCAGTGACTCAAACCGGTGCACCACGGCGGCCCTCTTGCCCTCCTCGAAGCCGGCGCTCAGCTCACGATCTACTTCCAGCTTGGCCGTGTCGCTGCTGAGCCTGGCTTTCCCAGCGCCATCAATCTGGATTGTGCTGGCATGGAGGGAGGTGGAGTAGACCTCTGCAATACGGTGGCTCAGGCACTTTAAGGTTTCTTCGCCTTCCCGGGCAGCGGTAAAGATTAAAATAGCTGGCTCGGTAGGACTGGAAGTGTTGAGATGCCTCTGCAGTAACTTACGCCCTCTGAGCCACAGATGGGCGCTCTGGCCCGGAAAGCTGTCCTTCAGCTGGTGAAACCCAGACAAGAAGGCCTCCACGACTGGATTTTTTGGCACGTGTTGGGGCTGGGAAGTATAGTAGCCATTGCAGTATATGCCGAAACACACCACAGCAAACAGGATTCCCAGTGACGCAGGAAAGGCAAAGCCTGTTAAAGGAGATTGAGGAGACAGGACAAGAGAGGGAGAATGATAGAGTCAGGCAGGAGTGCGGTGGCCTGTGGAAGGATGACCCTGAGATATGTCCCGGTCTGTAGCCATCTCCCAGATCCCAACACCTGCTTTCTAATGGAAACGATGGGTCACCGGAGCACCGTGGTGATGGCCCAGAAATATGTAACATAGCGCTGAAAAAGGCTCCCTCTTCCCGGAGGGGTTGAGACGTGCTCGGCCGCTGGGCCCAACACATCCAAGAATTCATCTACAGCCCTGAGCTGCGGAGCCATCCTGCATGATCTCCATGGAAACGTCAGTCCTGTGCGGGGGTTTGTTCCCTTCCCCCGCCCCCCGTGGAATGTGAGGCACCAAAGCTTTTTCACAGCTGTTTTCTAATACCGGGTGGTGGGCCATCGGTTTAGGGCTCTCACTGGCGTCGTGGCGCTGAGTAGGGTTGAGAGCTGAGTATTGGGTAGGAGCGGAGGAGGGTGGCCAACTCTGACTGCAGCTATTCCAGGAGATATCCTCCCTTTCCCCCTCCCCCGCTGCCATCATGATATAAAGTTATTTTCTTAAAATTTCCAGGGTTTCTTTCAATAGTCACCAGGAAGTTGATGCTGATTCCAGGCCAGCCCTGGAGGGTTGGCAGCCCTATGGGCTGAGCCTTCCAAAATACAGTTACAGGTGCCTAGATAGCTTATCTATCTAAGATACTTCTATGGCCCCCAGTATCCGAGTGCCCCACAATCTTCAGTGGACTTAACAGCACTGCGAGGGCATGTCCACACAGCAGGGCTAAAACCGAAATAAGCTATGCAACTTGAGCTACGTCCAGGGCTGGCCTAAGGGGTGGGCTAGCCGGGCAGTGCCCAGGGCACCAACCTATGGGGGGCGCCCGGCTCCCGGCGGGTTGCAGCGGCCACCCGGGGCAGGGGCCATGTTAACCCCCATTGTTCATTGTTCAGGGGTGTGGCTTTTTCCCATGCCGGAGTGACATAGCTGTCCCCATGTATGTTTGTAGTGCAGACCTGGCCTAAGCCGTCTGAGTGACTGGTTTGAATATGTTTCATTATCTGGTCTTGGATGGGGATTGTTTCCGGGGGTAACACACGAGGAAACCTTCTCATTCTCACCATTGCCTAAAAACGATTTCTCCTTCTGCGTTGCTCCCTGCCTGGCCTTGGTCTCTTGTGGATGGGATTCAGCCTCTGTCTTCGCCCCTGTAGGTCAGACATTTACAATAAAAAAAAAGGGAGATGGAGTTTGCGATTCACTAGTAAAGGCAAAAGTTAGTCAAAGCTCACCACTGAAAATAAAGGCCACATCCATAGAATACAAGGCAAAGCTGTGATAGAGCTTTGCACTGCAGCTGCCTCGGCTTTGGGTGGTTAGCATCATTCTGCAAACAATGGAAAGGAACATGCAGCTCCTTAAAGCTCTCACAATTTCCTGTATACCTAATCAGGAGAGGGTCCCACCCAGTGAAAATGAGCTTCATCCCTATACAGGGGAGCCAACTGTCTCTGTGGGCCACTGGGCAAGGTGGGGGTAGGGGCCAAGCTCCATGCTCCCCAAAGGGGTGGGGCCTCGAGCAGAAGGGTGGGGCCAGAGGCAGCCAGCCCTCTGTGCCGCCAGGAGTGCGCCACTCTGGTCTTTCCCCCCAGCCCTCAGAGCTGCACAAAGTGCCTGATGCAGCGCTCTGGCAATGACTGAAAGGGCCCAGGGCTCTGGCGGCTGCTGCTGTTGCAGTAGCAACGGCCAGGAGCCCTGGGCCTCTTTGAATTTCTGGGCCCCAGGGCAACTGCCTCTTTGCCCCTCCTGTCGGCGGGCCTATCCCCATTCAGCTCGGAGGGCGCTGGCAGCAGTTTTCAGGGGCTTTCTCCCCAGCACTGCTACAGTCACCGCTCTCAGGGAGGGAAGGCCCAGTTGCAAAGCGGAGCCTCAGCTTGCCCTGGTCTGCGCCATCTCCCAGTCCTGGGCGGGACAAGGATCTTCGTCTCTTCTCCCCCGCAAACCTCGGTGGGGACGAAAGCGTCTCACAACATCAGAAGCGGCCTCAAGAGGTCGCCTCGTCCAGCCCCCTGTGCTGAGGCAGGGTGGATCGCGACTGACAGGAGCAAAGAGTCCCCTTGAATCACCTCACGCTATTAGGCAGCTGCACAGCAGGGAAAAGATACTCCCGTTTGCTGGTTTAGCCTTTGAGCTGCTGGAGGCAGAGATAAAACACTAAGGCAGTTCACATTGGGGTCACGCTGCAAAAGCGTCTCGTGTGGATGAGTTTGTTACAGTGAGGGATGTTCTTAGCACTTAGTCCATTGCATGGGAGCCCTCGTTATAAGCTCACGGTATGGACTGTGGGGTGGAGGGGGTGAGGTAAGCAGTGTGAGTATCCTGGCCCCTATTTCCATAGGCACGGGAAGTATGAGTGTGGGAGGTGCTGCAGCACCCCCATATTTTACCCCCGGCTTCCCTGGGCCTGGCGGCTGGCCACGCTGCTGGCTCCTCCAGCCCTGTATCCTGGCCTCCAGTTAGCCCCCGTACATCCTGCCAGCTACACGTGCTTTTCCAGCCCTCCAAGGTCCTGCCACTGTGCGCTTTGCTGGCCCCCAAGGTTTCATCACCCACTGGCTCCGCCAGCCCTCAAAGTCTCACCACCCATCGGCCCTACCAGCACCAGGGTCTCACCACTGGTCCATGGCTCTGCAGCTGGCCTGGCCTGGGGAGGGTTGCCATATCTCCCAGACCGGACACACCAGACACCATCTGCAGCAACAAAGTCTAGTCCATCTGATCCAACAGAGTTTGCATCCCAGTCCCAACAGGTGTAAAGGGGAGGGGTGCAGCCCAGCAGCCCTTCCCCAAAAATAGTTCCAGTTCCATTGCCTGCTTCCACAGAGATCAGTCAGCCTGCCTACTGCTTACTCAAGGACATCCCATCCTCTGCAATAGGATGGGTAGCAGGTTTAAAACTAATAAAAGAAAAGTTCTTCTTCACACAGCGCGTAGTCAACCTGTGGAACTCCTTGCCAGAGGAGGCTGTGAAGGATAGGACTATAACAGAGTTTAAAGAGAAGCTAGATAATTTCATGGAGGTTAGGTCCATAAAAGGCTATTAGCCAGGGATAGAAATGGTGTCCCTGGCCTCTGTTCGTCAGAGGCTGGAGAAGAATGGCAGGAGACAAATCGCTTGATCATTGTCTTTGGTCCACCTTCTCTGGGGCACCTGGTGCTGGCCACTGTTGGCAGACAGGATACTGGGCTAGATGGACCTTTGGTCTGACCCAGTACGGCCGTTCTTATGTTCTTATGTAAAGCTGGCTAACATGTTCTAGGAACAGAAGCTGCCCTCAGTTATAATTAAATACTCCAAGGACGGGTTCTGCTCTGCCAAGTGTCTGTGTAAGAACTGAACCTTCACACGGTCGCTCTGCTCCCGGTGGATACTCAGTCAGACCTGCTGAGTTCAGTGCTAAAACTTTGTTCCTGCTACTCACGCTAGCAACCCTGCAGAGCTACCCCATCCCAGGGAGCATGAGCTGGAGTCGGTTCTGTCTTCCGCTTCAGCAACATGATTATCACTAACTTTTGGTCAGTTACACTCATGAGTCAACTTATACACGGGAGTCCAGCTGTACAGGCATCACTGGCCCGCAGAACCTGTGCGGCTGCGGCTGGAGGTGATGACAGACAATCAGGACATAACTAAGGCTTGCTGAAATTTTCCATTCAAAGCTGTTTTTTCCCCAATGGAAAATTGGGGTTTCACTGAGATGAAACGATTCATAACCAACGCCCCTAACTGCGGCGGAGACTTTCAACTTTTTGTTGGATAAAACAAACATGGAAAAAACAAAAATTTTAGGGTTTTTTTTTTTTTTTGCAGTTAAAACTCCACATTTTCCACAGAGCCAAACCTCACATGCTGACCCATTGTAGAAGCAACCTGCTTGACTCTCAGGTCAGAATGAGTCTGCAGGGCTGACAATCTGAGAAAACATCTTCCGACTTGCACACCCGGCACGTGTGATCTGCCCCCCTCGACTGAGAGACCAACCCCTCGATGCCGTTCTTGCAAAGGCCATACGTTACATTGGAGGCCACGGATCTGCAGAGACCTCAAACGTGGCAGCCCCTTGTCGTGCAATCTATTGTTGACTCACCTGCAGTCAAATGTCTCTTCTTCACTGTGTCCTGGAGTCTCTCTCCTTCCTTGTTTGAGGTAGTTTCTCCTGTTGGGTCCAGGAAGTCTGCAGATGACAGTGCGGGTTCTTGCATGGCGGGATCCTGTAGCTCTCCTCTGAGAGTGGTTACATCGCTCTCCTCTTCTATTGTGGGTTCCTCTGGGATGTTCTCCTCCACAGCAGCTAGCACTGAATGCACTTTCTTTTCACCTAATGAAGATACCGCGTCTTTCTCCGGGGAGCAGTCTGGTAACTTCATTGGGTTTGGAGGACATCTTGTGGTAAGGTTCAGAAGGCCTGGAGATTCCACAGGGTATGTTTTCAGAGAAATGCCATCAGAACTCACTGGTCTTTCCTCTGATGAAAGCTCTTCGCCGACTGTTAGAGGGCTTCCAGACACACAGCTCGTCTCTTGGGGGCCTAGCGTTTCTATTTCTGGAGAGGCTTGCAGTTGGACAGCACCAGAATCCTCCACCACCTTTTCTTGACCGGTCCTCGGTGCATTTTCAGTCTCTTGGGCCTGGGAAGTCTTCTCCATCACTTGTCTCCTCCATTCTTGAGCTGGGCAAACTGGTGGGATCAAAAAGTCAAAAGCTGTTTATGTTTTTACTATAATAATCAAGAATATTGAGTTGCCTACAGGGCTGGCCCACAATATTTTGGCACCTGAGGCGGGGAGCTCAAATGACGTCCCTATGCCCCCTCGCTTGGGCCAAAACTTTGAAAGGTTTCAATTCTGCCCTCCTTCCTCTAGCACAGCACTCCCCCATCTCTGTGCATCTAGAGCAGAGAGAATACATCTGCACCAGCAGCAGACACAATTTTCTACTCTCTGGGTCTTAGTGGTGCCCCCCCACAGTCTGGCACCTGAGGCAGACACCTCAGTTTGCCTCATGGTAAGGCCAGCCCTGGTTGCCTACTAGTATTCTACAATCTCCCACCAAAACTCCTAATCCTATACACTCCAACACTTGACACACAAGAATGGGGACTCGAGGTTCCCATAACCCCTCACCCCCAGTGACCTACATTGGGACATCTTCATAGAGATCTCAAGCTGGCCACTAAATGTATGCCTGCCACTCTACAAATACAATAAATGGTTCACGCTCATGGCCCTGAAAAAATTGGGTGCTGGCTATTTTAGAAATGTACCCCTTTTCTATGGTACACACCCAGCTGTTGAGACATACAATTGAAATGTAAATGCCAACGGACAATTTTCTTCCACTGTTTGATCTGAGGAAGTGGGTCTGGCCCACGAAAGCTCATCACCTATTAAACCATCTTGTTAGTCTTTAAAGTGCTACATAGTCCTGTTTTTTGTTTCATGGAGAATTCTAAATGCTGAAGAGTCCCTTGACTTTGAAAATATAATTCATTAAATTGCAGGATATGTCATAAGGCCTGACTATGTATCTGGGGCTTTCCAAGTTGGTAGGGCAAGGAGAAGAGGATGTATATTATGTTTTGTGGTTTGGGGAGCAGGGGCAGATGACTGTTTTGCGGGGCCCTGGGCAGCGTAATTCTACAGGGCCCACCCTTTGCCACGGCGCATGCACGGGGCTTTTTGAAGCGTGGGGCCCGGGGCAGCCACCCCGTTCGCCCTGCCCTATATCTGCCCCTGTTGGGGAGTTTCTACTCATGGTACTGACATGATAGCAGATTGAGCCGAGTGATTGCAAACCTTTTCTTTGCAATTATATTAACAAAATATAACTTGTTTCTGCTGTATTCAAGGTCTTTATCTGTTGCCTTTCTGTGGCTGGTCTAGCAAAGAATTGAGGTGTGCTTGTAGAAACGGAAATTTAAAGCAAATATTAGAGAATATTTTCACAGAGGAAGTTTTGGACTTGTAAATATGAGTATTTGCCAGGAACCTGAATCTTAGACTTCCAAGGAGAGAACAAACAAATATAAGTGAGCTATAGGTTCCAGAAAAACTATCTGACATAGTTAAGATTTTAAATATTGAACATTTGCACAACCTGTTCACAAAAAATCTGCTGATCAAGAATTATCATATGGAAATTAGCCAGCAACTAATTTTTAATTCAGAATAAATCTGACAAAACTGTAAGATGCTCCCAGATAACTCAAGGCCAGGGGAAAATGTAACTTGATTGAATGCAACTATTTAGTATGAATTACTCACTTAATTCCATTAGTATCAGTTTGGATTGGATACCATGATCTTGTGTGTTCAGGAGGAAGGACTGTCATTGATCCGTTTTACACTACTGCAGTGGTTCTCACACTTATCTGATTCCTCCCCCCCTTATGTCTGTTGTGGTTTTATCTCCCTTTCCACCATGCCAGTACCTATACCAATAAAAATAATCAACATGCAACTCGCATTAAACAGAACAAACAGTAAGGCACTGATTCAAACAAAGCCAGTGATCCTTTGTAACGAGAGCAAAAGCAACACTGCGATTTTGGTTGAGGCTTATAATCAAATGTGCACCCCATGTCATGGCAAATGGATTAGCTTTCAGATAGGGATGTAAAATCCTCTTTAATTAGTTAACTGGTTAAACACTATGTTTAACCAGTTAACTCATTAAATGGGGACAGGCTGGTGTAGGGATGTAATAGTACAGTCGATTAACTGATGAGCAAAAGCTTACTGATTAATGTTATAGACTATACATTCCCTTCCCCCGCCCCTAACTGATAAGCAAAAGCTTACTGATTAATGTTATAGACTATACATTCCCTTCCTTCCCCCCCGGCCAGTAAATTTTTTTAGCAGGCTGGCAAGTAGCCTGGCTCAGTTCTGGCTCGCACTGGATCCAGAAGATCAGAGCCCACCCTGGACAGGGGCTGCTGCCTCTGTATCAGAGGCAGCAGCGCAGGATGATAGGCGACTGGTCCGCACGGAGAGCTGGTTTTTAAACCGGCTCCCCTTGCGGACCAGCTCCCGCCTGGCACCCCACGCTGCTGCCTCTGATACAGAGGCAGCAGCACACAGTGATGGGGGGCTCCTCAGTAGTGGGGCTGGAGCGCACTGGCTGCCAGCCCCACCCCCAGGGACTATAGAATAGCCATGTAACCGATAAGAATTCATGAGGTTAATTGACTATTCAATTAACTGATATTTAACGTCTCTAGGCTGGAGCAACCCTCCATCCGCCGCAGCTGAGCTGGAGTGCCTCTCTCCACAGTGCTGGGCCAGGCCCAGGGCGGGCCCTGCAGAACTGGAGTAGCCCTCTGCCTGCAGTGGTTGTGGGGCTGCTCTAACCCCCACCGGTCAACTGGTTAACCATTCACATCCCTACTTTCAAATGGCAAAGACTTTGTATAATGCTATGCAGGCTTAACAGAAATCTTTCAACATGCACAGCACCAGCTAGAGCCAATGCACAGGGCCATCTGAGGGCCTGATATGTCTGAAGGAATGGACTTTGCTAGTTATTCAAGGCTGGGGGATAAACGTGCACGTCACAGAGATATCGCAGAAATACATTCCTTGCCTCCCCCCGTTTGAAAACTTCTGCGCAACAGAATAAAAGGACAGAGTATACATAGAAAAAAAAATTAAATGGGCCATCTAAGCTGGCTTCTGAATACCCAGGTTGTGCACATGTAAAGTTGGGATCGTTCTGTTTTCCATATGCAAAAGCTGGGTCCGGCAAGCTTGTGTAGAACAGTTGGCCTATTGTGTGACCAGCTATAATCTCCTGATCTCTGAGTTCTGTAGAATTTGGATCTCAGAACTGATCCAAGTCATCTTTGTGTGGACAATATGGCCCCTACAGAGCTCCTGGACTAAGTTCCCTGTAAGCTGCTTGACTGTGCAGCAGCCTGTTTAGCGCCATGCAGGCGCGCAGGGAACCCAGCCCAGGTGGACCTGCGGTGGCCTGAGGAATGACACTCCCTCCCACAGCCTGATCCTAGCCCAGCTCCGAGCTGCCACTGCCAGGAGACAGGCACCCCTCCCCCAGCCCAAATCTAACCTGGCTCCCAATCTGTCACAGTCGGGGCTAGCACCCATCCCACAGCCCCAGCTGTGACAGATTGGGAGCCATGGTGGGGAGAGTTGCCTTTCCTTTCCAGCCCAGGTGCTGCTGGGGGGTCCTTGCTCCTTGCTATAGCCCCAGGGCAGCCTGCACCTCAGACTCCTCATCCCTGACCCCACCCCAGGTCCTGCACTCCCAGCTGGAGCCATACACCCCTACACCTCAATGCTCTGCCCCTGGTCTGAGTAGGCTTGCCAGATGCTTTCACCAAAAATCCCAAACACGTCAGGAAAAAAACTTGGTTGAGCAAAAAAAAAAAAAAACCCCAACAACCAGGAGAACAACAACAACAAAAAAGTCACTGCGCCTTTAAGAATCCCTGTGCTCCTTGCTTCACCCTCGCCCACACCAATGCAGCAGGGGAAGAATGTCCCCGCCAGCCTTCCATCCAAGAAAAACAGAAAATACTGGACATTTTACACGTCCGGTATTTTCTGTTGTTTTTTTTTTTTACCAGACAGGGGCCAGAAATAACAGACTGTCCGCGTGAAAACCAGACACCTGGCAACCCTAGGCCTGAGTCTCCTCCTGCACTCTGAACCCCCTCAGTCGCACCCCCACTACATGAATTTTGTTATGGGCACCAATAGAGCGGTGATGTGTATCATATTCCCCTCCATATTGGGGCATGTGACAAAAGTAATTCCTCACGTGTGTGGAAAACTTAGAGGGAACCCGGGTCCTGGAACAATTTGTATAGTGGGGGGTGCTGAGAGCTATTGACTCAAACTACAGACGTCATGGAAACCACTTCAAGCCAGGAGGTACAGCAGCAGCATCCCCCGAATTCCAGCCCCTATGTTTCCCTAAGTCCACTGCGTGCTCACTTTTTAAACATAACCATATTCATGTACTTTGGGAAACTGGGAACGTTAAATTCAGCTCTGCTTCCATTATTATGCAGTAGAGGCCACTTTACCCCAAATACTGGCCAGGGGGCAGGCCTGCTGCTGTGGGGAGGGGGAGAGGGAATAGGGCAGTTGCCCTGGGGCCCAGAGCTTCAAAGGAGCCCAGGGGCTCTTAGCCACCACTGCTACTACTGCTACTTTAAATCTCTAGGGGTGGTTCTATGGGATGGGGGGGCGTGGCTTATTCTGCGTCGCATGGAGGCCCCGCCCCTTCCGGGAGCCCAGAGCCTTCCACACACACCTCCCCCAGG